TAGCAGTTAGATCTAGAGATCAAGATCTGGTAGTTTGGCCTACATTTTTTTCAAAGAAACAACTAGATCTCTAGATTCTAGTCTAAGAATGTCTCTTCCATCATTCCCTAACTTAATTATCCGCTAGGATGAATTACCTGTCAGGACGAGATGGTGGAAATGGATTCAACAGCTGGAAAATCAGTCAACTGGTACAGATATCCGGACTGATATCAGAAAAAAAGCCTTGCCAATACTAATACTAATACATTATGGAGGCGAAGAAATCTTTGATCTAGTTGATACGTTTCCAGTGGAACATAAATCCACCTTTGAGACTCTCAAAACGACTCTAACAAATCATTTTACACCAAAAGTAAATCTGGTGTATGAATCATTCAAGTTCTGAAAAATGCATCAAGAACAATGGGAATCTGTAGACCAGTTCCATGTACGTTTACGCAGACAAGCAGCTCTGTGTGACTTTGCTGATCTTGAAAGAGAAATTCTATCACAGATGATTGAAGGGGTCATATCGTCACAGTTGAGAAGGAAAGCAATTAGGGATAAAGTAGCTTTACAGCAATTCCTACAAGAAGCTAGGAATGAAGAACTAACCAACAAGCTGGTTGGGAAGACAGAAAGAGAAGTAGGCCAAGCTTCAGCCATCAACAGAAAACCAGGACGTATCAACAGAACAGAGCAGAGTCATTCTCAGGAAAAAGTAGGTGCAAGTAATCAACCCAGATACAAGGGTACACACAAAGGAAGTAAACCTTCGGGGAGAAAAACAAAGTGCAGGAACTGTGGTGGCACTTTTCCCCATCCGTCAACAAGACCATGCCCAGCAAAAGGCAAAGTTTGTCATTCGTGCGGCAAATATAATCACTTTTCTTCTGTCTGTAAATCTTCAGGGAAATAGCAAAACCAAAATACAGCCGAAAAAAAATTCACCATGATGATGAATCAGATTCTGACAGCACTGAAGTGTTTCAGATAAATCCAAAGAAAAACGTACCTACAGTGACGGTAAATAGGCTATGTGTTCAAGTTCAAGCAAGCTGACATTTATTGTTGATACTAGTGCATCTGTAAATATCATAACAAAGACAACGTATGATCTGAAGAAGGAGAAACCTATTTTGAGGCCAGATCCTAGTGCTATTTATGGATACTCAAACAGTAAAAAGCTGGATGTCCTTAGACGTTTCACAGAAAACATCCAGTGCAACGGGAAGAAGATCAAGGAAAGTTTCTATATGGCCAAGACACCCGAAAAAGCATGCAACTTACTCTCTGCAACAACCTCTGAGGAACTAAGAATAATTTCCTTCTTGAACAATGTAACTATCTCGGATGCTCTTTTTCAGGGATTCGGCAGAATTAAAGGTCTCATGATAAAACTCTACATTGATCAAGAAGTTCAACCAGTCGCCCAAAAATACAGAAGAATACCATACCATGTAAGGAAGGATGTTGAAGCGGAAATTCAATGCCCAGAAAAACAAGACATCATGGATCAGACCTATAGTGGTTGTCCCAAAGAAAACTGGCGGAGTTCGTCTCTGCGTAGACAAGAGAAGGGCAAATACAGCTATCAAAAGAGAGAGACACCCAATGCCCACACTCGAGGAAGTGATAAACGAATTAAATGGCTCCAAATTCTTCAGTCGTCTGGACCTACAGCAAGCATTCCATCAGATGGAACTCGCAGAAGAAAGTCGTCACCTCACCACTTTTGCTACTCATGTTGGCCTGAGAAGATACAAAAGACTTACGTTCTGCATAAATGCAGCTCAAGAACTGTTCCAGCATCACCTTAGTCAGATATTCCATGATATTCAGGGCGTCACAAACTACATTGATGATGTCATAGTCTTCGGCAAGAACAGAAATGAGAATGACAGGAATCTGCAAGCCACACTAAACCGACTACAAGACAAAGGAGTCAAATTGAACAAGGACAAAAGTCTGTTCAAAGTCCAAAAGCTGACCTTCCTGGGACATGTTTTCGGCAAAGATGGAATCTACCTCGAGCAAGTCCATATCTAAGGCAGCACTACCATCAACTGTCTTAGAAGTTAGATCATTTCTAGGCATGACGCAGTATGTGTCACGGTTTATCAGAGGGTATGCAACTATCACAGGGCATGTTGACAAAGAAGACTCAGACTTGGATTTGGGGAAAACCTCAACAGGATGCTTTTGATCAGCTCAAATCAGCTCTTATAAACGCAGGAGTCATGACCTACTTCGATCTGGTCAAATCTACTGAGATCATAGTCGATGCATCCCCGTGTGGACTCGGTGCAATCTTAACTCAGGAGGGGCATGTCATTAGCTACGGAAGTCGAGCACTCACACCAGTGGAAACGAGATATTCCCAAACTGAAAGAGAGATGCTAGCAGTTGTGTTTGGAGTGGAGAAGTTCCACATGTACTTGTGTGGGTCTTGGTTCACTGTTACAACTGACCATAAGCCGTTACTTGGCATAATCAACAGAAACAAGCCATGTTCAGCACGCTTTGAGAGATGGCGTCTTAGGCTGATGCCATACAAGTTCAACCTCAGATAAAGTCCTGGGAAAGATGAGCTCAACCCAGCAGACTATCTTAGTCGTCACCCCATTACTGAACCTACCAGAGACAACAAAGGTGAAAACTACATCAGTTATGTGACGAGGGTATCAATTCCAAATGCTGTAACTCTTGACGAAGTGATGACTGCAATCCAGTCTGGAAACTGGAAAGACAAGTCGCTTTCTTCATTTTCAAATATCAGAGATGAACTTTCGGTTTACGATGGGGTCATAATGCGCCAACACAGACTGGTTATTCCTAGTAGTCTACACCATCAAGTGATGACTCTCACCAAGGTGTTGTAAAGACAAAACAACTAATCCGTGAGAAAGTATGGTTTCCAGACATAGACAGAATGGTGGAAGAACACCTGAAAGGGTGTGTACATGTACCATGCCAATCATCAGTCACAGGCACTCCAAATCGTGAACCATTGAAGATGACACCACTGCCAGATTGTGCATGGGATGAAATATCAACTGGAGCATATTTAGAGAAGAGAATTTTCAGTAATAAAGCGTATGCCCACCGGTACAGTCGTGTCTGGCTTCTGCTGCTTTCAATGTCTGTCTAGATCTGGATGTTGTGATTGTGATGTCCCGACAGTACAGATACGATAGTAAAACACGACGTACGGAAAGGGTTAATGTGCAGTTTGGCAATGTGTGCCTTGTAGTACAACTGTATAGTCACCCGGAAGTGTGATTTTATTATATCCAACATGGCCGCACTATAAACAAAGGTATTACTACTACCCCAAGCGGGCCTACTTCTAGTTTCTACATCGTTTTTTTTTTTAACCCTACTTCTACATTGTTGACTGCCTGTATAGATCCCGCCTCCATCCCCCTAACCCACTTCCTCACAGCTACAGCTCGCTCAATCTCTTCCGTTGTATCCTAGTTCAGGCCTTTCCTTGCCCTGTTAAACCCGAGCACAGGAAATTGAGTTTGCATAGAAAAAAAGGGGGATTCCCGTATGGTCCTGCTAAAGGCATGTTCTACTGTATAGAGCTACATCACTTTTGGAGTGGTTCATGTAACATGTTTCTCCGCACCATCGCTTTCTAGACCCTAGGCCTACCGCTTGCCCCTCCCCCACTCATCACTGGACTAGCCATTCACAACGCGCACCGCTGACTGCCCATTTGGAGCCCACCTACAGCTCCCCAACCCCCAGCTAGAGCTCGCCCGATCTCCCCTGCTGTATCCGAGTTCGGGACTTTCCTTGCACCACTATATCCAAGCATAAGCAATTGAGTTTGCAAAGGAAAAAAAAGGGGGTTGAGTTTGCAAAGGAAAAAAAAGGGGGATTCCGGTGTAAGGTCCCGCTGAAGGGATGGTCCCGCTATAGTCATCTTCTACTGTACAAGTAGGTGGTTGGCAGGTGCTCTGGTCCCTGGTGTGGTTTGCTCCTTCTTAAAATCTTTCCCATCAAACATCTTTCGTCATTATCGCTCCTCTTTCTTTTTGTAAGTTGCTCTCTTGTAACACATTTCATCTTTGGCACTCCAATGACTTTCTGTGTTGCAAGTGCCATGATAAATACTACACAATTACCAGTACTAGTACTACCAGTGGGCTGGGAAAACAAAAATAACAAAGCATGCAGTTCAGGGGATGCTGCTACTAAATGGTACTTCATAATTATTTTGATTCATACCTTTAGTTAATGGAAACTCCAAACGCTACTAAGCACCAAATACAATGGACAATCTGTATGAAACAAAAACATCAATGACCTATTCTTCTGGAAAGACGGTGGCAATAAAGTAAAGCCCACACATAAAGGGGAAAAATGAATGACACGAGGCATGAGGATAGTCAATAAAAGCAGTTACTTCAGTAACATTTGCAGGCTTGCCAACTGTCCCAAATTTGGCAGCAAGGAATTTGAGAGCTCTATCTATCACACACAACACCTAATCAGTTTCACTAGACCTAATTCTAAATTTGCCCATTGCAACATAAAATGATGTTATCAACTTATCTGTCCCCGTCGTTTTATGAAAGAAAAATTCTGAAATTATGCAAACTGAGCCCAAAAATGTGAAATTATGCGATTCTGTTAATTTTAACAAAGAAAGATAAAGGAAAATAATCAGAAATTATGCAAAAAAATGATCAGATTTCGTTAAATAATGCAGGGTGCATAAAACCATGGGGACAGACTTATATACTATAATGCTGTGTGTCCCAGATTAGGTTCTGAAAAAGTTGGAAAGCCTGTAATATGATCAAAACTGGGCTTCAACCCTTTTGACCTGATCACACACTTCAGCAGAGAGTGGGTGTGGCCAATCTGGCGCTTTTTGAAAAGGGAGCTCAGGTGCATGGCTCTAGAGCCTTTGGCTCAGAGAGCTGGGGCTCCAAAGGGTAAGTCGCAGCTGAAAAAATGCAAACTATAACTATAAAATATAAGTCCAACAACTCTTTTGTTGATTTATCATTATTACTATCATGGTAAGTTGATCCAATTAATTTATTATGATCACAGAAACAATGGCAAATCTCACATAGGCCTACTTGAATGGTAAATAAAAGTATCAGTAGCTACAAGTATGTGGAGAATCAAGAGGAATTGTAAATTTTTACAAGAAATCCAAGAATTCTGTTTCAGTGACAACAGCTCTTTCTCAAGTCTGACTTCATCACATCATATGGTCATGGTCATAAAATATTATTGAAAAGGTCATTTTCATAAGGTTTATAGATTTGGTGCTGTAAAAATGCACGTTTGTTTCATATGTATCCAAACATAAAATGGTTTTGTTTCATGAACTCATTATCTAGTGATAATAATAATAAATTCAATAAATAAATTACATTTTATTGATCTCGTGGGGAACTGCTGGCAAAAACCCGTATAAATACATAATCTAAGAGACATTTTCACTTTTGCTGAGAAGTTGACTAACGTTAACAACTGTATTTTAATTTTAAGATTTCTCAAAATAAACCCCCAAAAATGGCTTACGCAGTTATGTTATGACCATGACGATATGACCAAAGTAACTTATTAAAACTTATTTTTTTAAAAAATGATTAGCTGTATTCAGCACCTCAAGGAGTGAGCCATGAGTTCCACGTCCAGTCCTCGGCCCGGTACAATCTCCATGTGTAGAAACAGTTTACACACAGAATCTGCATCATGCGGCCAATGAGAACCTCTGACGGCCAAACACGTTTAGTGACAGCCGACAGCCACGAGAAGGAAGTGTCGTGGCCGCTCCACTCTAGCACGAAGTTTGCAGTAAACTGAGACAACATGAATATTATTGAGAGCTTCAACAGAAGTGGAGACCTCCATGGATTTTTGTCCCTTTCGTCAAAATCTTGAATCACAGTCTCCATATCTTCAGACTCACCATTGCCCTGCACAAAAAAAAAAAGTCGGGGAAAAAAAACCTTTACACACTTAAAAGAGTTTTTTTATAAACATTTATTGAAAGTATTCAGTATTTTTATTGAAAGTATTCAGTATTCAGATAAAATGAAGATAGGGATTTTTCTAACAAATGCTTTCATCTCAAATGAAAAACTAAAAAACACAAAATGACCAGCCCTAAAAAAAAGTATAAATCTCGAAACTTTGAGCTTTCAGTCCTGATTGAGTTGCTTGCTACATGAGATGGGCAAAGAATAGTTGTGTCTACAAATAAATGTAGGCAATAAATATATGAATCCTTGATAACTGCCATAAGTGACCCAGTCTCACTCTCAGCCCAAGCTGACTGTAATTACCCTGGGCCCGGAAGTCTCTGACTGAAGGCTGACAAGTCACATCAACTATTAACTGTTCTGAAAAGTAGGCTACAAAATCTAGCAAAAATATGATACTGAGAAGGAATACCTAACACTGTACCCATAGGATAGCATGCACAACAACAAAGCCAACTGAACTGCCCTTTTCAATTTGGGCCCAAATCTTATCTCCCATTATCATGAAGTGAACAAATTGTATAAAATTTGAAATAAAACATTCATAAAAGAGAATGGATAAGCTAGAACGTTTAGTTTGTAGGATTTGTTCAGGTAAACGGAGGCACACTGACACAATGACCATCATTTTGTGCAGGAAAAGAATAACACAGACCAATAGTGGCAACAGAGACAGACCGACAGAAACAACATAGGAGGAAAAAAAAGTAGGACCTTCAGGCGGTGTGCCTTTCAAACTACTTGCTTGCAGTATTTCCTTATCTAATGGACTATAGCCAGACAACACACAGTCAACCAGCTGTTAACACATTACACCCTAACTTGCCCATAAATTTCTGTACGCGCTCCACCCGAACTCGCCGGTGCCGACCTAGCGTTTTTAGAAACGAAGTCTCGCCTTGACGTGACTCTGGGGCCAAGATTTTGATTTGCACAGTTATTGCAAAAAGTTTCTTCTTTCGTTTGATACCAAAACGAAATTTTTCGGGGCCAGTAGTTTTCGTATTAGAGTCGACCGACGTGCGACCACGATACCGACACTTCGAAGGTGTTTCGACTTGTTGAAAAGCGATACAACTGAGTTCGAAAAATGGAAATAACGATGGAAGGGAGCAAAAACAAGCATAAGACAAATCAGATGACTCATGTTTTGATGAAAACGTAGTAGTAGTAGCAAGAGTTTGTGGCGATTCAGATTGATCAGACGTAGAAAATCTAGAATTTAGATCTAGATCTAGGTCTCCACTGTGAGGCTGAGAGTGAGAGTGACAGGTCGGACACCCCGATTGAACTAAAGTTAGAACATTTCCAATAGTTGACGCACACATAAAGTTATATTTTTCAGAAATTACATTAATTTTTCTAATTAATTTATATTTTTTCAGGATTTTGGGACTTCATTTGGTATTTTTTTTTAAATGTGTTTTTTTAACGCTTGTATTCACTGGATGTGGGTTCTTTCCCCTTGCTTAGGATCTAGGACTGGACTTCCTGTCCAGGTCCTTAGGGTGTCATGTGTTAAAATGCACTAGTACTTGTAAGTCCAAATTGAATTTTTAAAATTATAATGAAGTTTTGGTTGTACACTCATGAGAAACATTTTGATGAAATTCAAATTCTAAATGTTGATTTAAAAAAAAGGAAGAAAAGGCACATAATGTAGGTACAATTGTTCAAAGAATGAAATATTTTCTTTTTCCTCTCCTGTAAAATTTTACTTTTTTGGATTTAGTACATTTTAACAGCTTGCCAACAATATCCTCAAATTCATATCATTCATGATAACTGGCAAGTTTTCAGAACACGTACCCTGTCAGTAAAAAAATTCCTGGTCATTTTGTTGGCGATAAAAAGAATGCTCCACAATCTCACAGCTAGCAGGCCCAGGAAGAAGGGGCTGAAGAAACGATGCAGGTACAGGATGGACCTCTGGGCGTTTGCTGAGGAGGACAAAATGAACAAAACACTCTTATAGCTGTCCCTGCGGTTTTAGGGAAAAAAAAATTCTGAAATTATGCAAACTGAGCCCAAATGAGAAATTATGCAATTCTGTTAATTTTAACAAAGAATAATAAAGGAAAATAATCAGAAATTATGCCAAAAAATGATCAAATTTGCTAAATTATGCGGGGTGCATAGAACCATAGTAACAGTTATAGTGCCAAAAGAGATGCACAAAAACTGTACAATTTTTAAAATACAAACCCCAAAATTCCTTTTCACAGCACAGATTTCAAAATGTAGATGGCAACAGATTTCCTAGACAAGACACAAATGCTTTGACCGAAGAAATGTTATGTTCAACTTATCTGTAATGAGAAGGTCACCTTTAAATAGTAAAGAACTTTATTAGTCATTACTGCTGAGCAATTTTTTCTCACGCTCACACTGACTTCCCTGTATTATGCAGGCAGCCACTAATTTTAATGTTTGTTGATGTGAGATTCATTGCATGAAAACAAAAAGTACTGTTTTGAATAAAATCATAGAAAGACCGAACTCACCTGAACTCACATTGAGAATCCAGTAGATAATGCTTACAAAGCTAGATCTTGTGAATGAAGTTCTGAAAGTATGAGAAAAGAATGAAAGATTAATTGATTCTCTTAACAACATTACTTTAAAAAGTAGTATTTCTGTAACTTTCCAAATTTTTTTTTTTTGCAAAACTGTTTGTTTTTTTTTAATTTTGAGGGGTTTTTTGCCCTGGAGAAATTTAAAACAATGTACAAGACAAAATATGTTCACTTGAAGGTCAGAAAACTTAGACCCCTTTACAATTAATATAACGTGCTGAGAGGAAATATGTTCCAAAACAGTATGAGAAAAATTAGGACCCAACTTGAATCGAACTCCCCACTTCTGTGAGTGTGCCAAGTCGTTAGTCAACTCCACGGCACCGTAAAATGAAAAAGAGTATAACCTCTTCGTTGCCAGGGTGTGTGTGTTCCCATGGTCAACACTGATTTTCAGTCTAGTTTGTTAGTCAGGACAACACTTTCATCAGTCCGGGTGTCATTGGATTCGCAATTAATGTTCTGACCCACCGATGACATTTTCAGACCCCGGGTCTTTGATACTGATAGTGTCACCTTCCTTATTCCTATAGAATCCCATATTCCCCAATATTCCAATAATTTTGAACAACTTGCAAATCTAAGTCAGAAAATGAAATTCGCTGCCTTTTTTTTTTCAGTTATTTTGGTGTTTAGGTTGAATTTTGTGAAAGCACACTATTGTCTGTGTTTATCGATCACTTACAAGCCTTGCAGTAAAGTAATAGGGCCTACAAGAAAATTTGTGGTACACATATGCTCATTTTTAATTCCCAAAAACAAATCTACACTGCATTGTGGCTAAATCTCTGAACAGAAGAATTAGAGCCAGATGATTAATGGGATGTACATGATGTATATCTTACACCGTAGACAACTAAGAACGGTAAATTTTGCAAACTTCCAAGACGAACATTTTCGTAACATAACCGTGTACATAAGGTCAGCCCAGGGAAGAGAAAAACCATAAGTACGATACAAACCAACCTAGATATAAAACAAATTAATCCATATCCTGAGAACAGACATTTCCTTGAATTAACAAAAAAAAAATTTTTTAATCTGGCCTTAACTTGTTACATAAGCACCAATACATCTCTGACACCTTGATATGATGGGGGACTCTGAAGAAAAAGTAAAAGAAACGAATAACCCCTTAAAAATAAAAATCATACTTTTTCCAGATAAGTGGCTCTGGTAATGGAGAGCTGATCTGCTGTGTCTCAAACACCATGATGTACAGGACAGTGATGCTGACCAGACTGCAAAAGGCGCAGTCACTGATTATACCTGGCAGGAAAAAAAAAATCCATCATCAAAATTACAAATGAAATGGTTGGAAAGCCCATATTATAGAGTAGTAATCTATAGAGCAGGGATATGCATTATAAATGCAAATATTATTAACCCATTCACAACGCATTATTTTCGACTTGTGGACCAATTTTTTCCGGAGGGTGAATTGAGAAGATGACTACTGCGCAGTAGAAAGGTCTTTTGGGCCACAAATTCAAATAAATATCAACATGTAATATACCAAAATATATGGTTTGTCGAATATATCTGTAATGTTACTTTGTGTATTTTTCAACTTTGGTTCCTGTAAGAGGCTATTATGAAACACAATTTTGATTGGATGCGGATAAAATTTGAAAATAAAAAATTAATAATCTTAGGTGAAACTCAAAAGATATGTTTGCACCTAGTCAAATGATACATCAAAATAACTAAATTAATAATATAGCACTGAAAAATATTGAAAAATTTGCAGTTATTTAAATACATTCCATAATATTTGTACATTAGGATCATAACATCCAATATGTTGAAAAAAAATTTTAAATTATAATCTAGATAAAAGGATCATAAACAGAAAAAAACACTCGTATCTTATATAAGATCCCTGTTTTTACCGGATCCCTGTTATTACAGGGCCTGTTATATATGGTTTCCACTAGGCCAGGGCAAGATCGACGGCAAAAAGACTCGAGGCCTCGATTCCAAAACTGAAAAAGAATCGAGGAATCAAGTCCGATTTTGGAAGCTGCTTCAAGTGGGCTGTTTAGAGAGGCCATGACTTGAACGCTGCTAAAAATAGCTCTTAAGATCAAGACCTCGAGTCTTGAACACTGCTAAAAATAGCTCTTAAGATCGAGACCTCGAGTCTTGAACACTGCTA